TATAAACATTATGAAGTTTTCCTATTTTGAAGAATATTTATATAATTCATTGAACAGATTAAGCATTTGGAACTTAAACTCTTAATAGGATGACTATGTTTTTTCAACATTCTATTTTTCTGTGCCATCCGGGTGTCCCATCAGTCAGTTCTGACACTACTGGAGATAGTGCAGTGCAAACATGGAAGTTAAGACACCAAGTCCCACAAGACTGGCTCCATTTTAGTTGCCACCTGCAGGTTCTGGATGTCCCCATGGAATCCATTTCTTCCCAGCCAACTGCAGGTTAAGGAGTTCTCCTAACTCTCCCCATCACATTCAGTAATTTGCTAGAATGACTCACAGAGTTCAGGAAAACACTACACTTAGAGTTAAAACCTTTTTTCTTTTTAAATAAAGGTTACAACTCCAGAACAGCCAAATGGAGAGACACACAGGGTAAGATGTAAACGAGCTTCTGTGACCAATCTGGACACTCCTGGGGCCTCATTGTTCAAGAGTTTTTTAATGGAGGTTTCATTATGTGGGTATGATTAATTAAACCATCAGCCACTGGTGATTAAACTCAATCTCTAGCCCCTTCTCTTGAGGGCTAATTGCCTGGTAGGTTTTTTTTTTTTTTTTTTTTTGACTATCTGCCCTCAGCCTAAAGCTATCCAGAGGCCCCTCTATAACAAAGACAGTCCATCACTTAAAAATTCTAAGAGTTTTTACAACCTCTGTCAGGGACTAAATATATATTTTTTATTTTTCCACAGGACATAGAGATAATAAATATATCATGTAGGAATAAGTTTTTTTAAAAGGGTAAGAAGATAGAATGACAAAGGGTGCTACTTTAGATACGTAGGCAGGGAAAAACTCACTGACAGACTTTTCTGGGGCTTTATCTTGCTCCTTTATCTGGGACAGAATCTTCTGCCTTTTAACTTTTTAAAATTTATTTTTAATATGGAGCATATTTGCTGTATCATGTTGGGTTGGTTTCTGCCATACATCAGCGTGAATTAGCCATAGGTATGCATATGTCCTCTCCCTCATGAACCTCCTTCCCACATCCCGCTTCTCTAGGTTGTCACAGAACACCAGCTTTGAGCTTCTTGCGTCATACAGCAAATTCATACCATCTGATTTACATATGGTAATATATATGTTTCGGTGCTGCTCTCTCAATTCGTCCCAACCTCTCCTGACCGGAAACTATAAAACTCTTAGAGGAAGACATAGACAGAACACTGACGTAAATCACAGCAAGATCCTCTATGACCCACCTCCTAGAGTATTGGAAATAAAAACAAGAATAACCAAGTGAGACCTAATTAAACTTTAAAGCTTTTGCACAGCAAAGGAAACTAAACAAGGTGAAAAGACTTTTGAAAAGTTATCCAAAAGACAGCCCTAAGAGTGGGAGAGAAGAATTGTAAATGAAATAACTGACAAAGGATTAATCTCCAAAATATACAGGCAGCTCAAGAAGATACACAGATAGCTAATAAACACATGAAAAGATGCTCAACATTTTTCATTATTAGAGAAATGCAAATCAAAACTACAGTGAGGTATCACCTCTTTGGAGAGAATGGCCTCATTGACAGATGATAGACAGAATGGCCATGATCAAAAAATCTACAAACAGTAAATGCTAGAGAGGGTGTGGAGAAAAGAGAACCCTCCTTCACTGTTGGTGGGAATGTAGATTGATACAGCCACTATGGAGAACAGTGTAGAGATTTCAGTAAAAAAAAAAAAAAAAATAGAAACCTAGGAGTAAAACTACCATATGACCCAGCAATCCCACTGCTGGGCATATACCCTGAGAAAACCATAATTGAAAAAGACACAGGCACTTCAGTGTTCATTGCAGCACTATTTACAATAGCCAGGACCTGGAAGCAACCTAGATGTCCACTGACAGATGAATGGACAAAGAAGTTGTGGTATATATACAATGGAATATTACTCAGCCATAAAAAGGAATGAGTTTGCGTGAGCTCTAGTGAGGTGGATGAACCTAGAGCCTGTTATACAGTGTGAAGTGAGTCAGAAAGAGAAAAATGAGTATAATATATTAATGCATATGTATGGAATCTAGAAAAAAAGGCCTTTTCATTTTTATTTCCTTTCTTTGATTGTGGTTTTCATTCTGGAGGCTGTGGGAAGGTAGTTCTAGCTTCTTCTGTGTGCTCTCTGGTGGATGAGGCCAAGAGACTTGGGCAAGCTTCTTGATGGAGGGACTGGTGGTGGGAAAGACTGGATCTGACTCTGGTGGGCAGGGCAAACATTCGGTAAAACTTGAATCCCAGTGTCTGCTGGTGGGTGGGGTTCTGCTCCACCCCTGTCGGTTGTTTTGCCTGAGGGACCCAGCCCTGGAGTCTACAGACTGTAGGTAGGACTCACCTCCAAGAGAGCTTATGCCAAGGGGCACTCCCAGGCCTGCTGCGGCCAGTGCCCCTGCCCCCTCTGTGAGCCCCTGCCGGCCCACACCTCCCCAGGAGACCCTCCAACGCTAGCAGGTAGGTCTGGTTCAGTCTCCTGGGGGATCTCTGCTCCTTTCCCTGTGCCCTGGTGTGCACAAGGTTTTGTTTGTGTCCTCCAAGAGTGGAGTCTGTTTCCTCCAGTCCTGTGGAAGTCCTGCAGTCAAATCCCGCTGGCCTTCAAAGTCAGATTCCCTGGGGACTGACTTTGTCAGATCCCTTTGTGAGATCCCTAGGTTGGGAAGCCTGATGTGGGGCTTGGAACCTTCACAGCAGTGGGGGAACCTCTGCAGTGTAGTTGTTCTCCAGTTTGTGTGTTGCCCCCCAGTGGGTATGGGATTTGATTTTATCATGGTTGCGTCCCTCCTTCCATCTTGTCGCTTCTCCCTTGCCTTTGGTATCTTTTTGGTGGGTTCCTGCATCCTCCTGTCCATGGTGGTTCAACAGCTAGTTGCAGTTCAGTGCTTTCACAGGAAGAGATGAACTCACATCCATCTATTCCACCATCTTGAGCCAATCTACCCTTACCTCATTAACAGACTTTCGAATGGATAACTGAATGGTGTGTGGAAGGGAGCTTTCCGAGCAGAGTAAATGCAGCAAATGAAAATGGAGTGTACTGTGCATTATAGAAATCCAAAAGTTGGTCAGTATGGTTGGAAAATCTGGGCAGCGGAGGCGGGGGTTGCGGGTAGGTAGTTTAGAGAGAGACTTGTGAGGAATGAGGTCATTGTCAGCCTGGTGTCAGATGATGTGGAGCTGTGGTAAGAATTTTGGATTTTATTTTGTAACAGAAAGCCATTGGGAGGGTTTTGATTAAGGACATTACTTGAATTAATTTTCTTAATCATAACAATTACTATCTGGAAAATGGAGTTAGGGAGATTGCAGGCAAGAATGGTTTGGGGGGCTGTTATGGTAGTCCAGACAGAAAGATCACAGAGAATTAGTGGAATTGATGACAAGTTGCAGAGTTTCTGGCTATATTGTGAAGACAGAGACAAGAATTTGGTTATAGACACATTGCTTGGGATACTCATACTGACATCTTTTTTGTTTTGGTTTTTGGTAAATTATACACAATCCTTCTGTTAATATCTGTATTGTGTTTGGTAGTACTAATAAAATTTGTCTTGAAAATCATAAGTTTATTTGCTCATGGTTTATATGTTAATTAAAATGCTTCCTAACCATTGTTCTTTGAATAGTACTTAAATGATAGGATTCTCGTAGGTTGTATGGAGATAAAAGGCTCTCTGTGAAGAATAATACTTAAAGTTATGTGAATATTCATGGTCTTTTGTGAAAGCTTTGGCGGTATTATATATTTTAAGAATTGAAAAATACCCTATTTTCCAGCCACCTCCAAAACTTGATGTCACTTTGACCAAAAGTTTGAAAAATGCAAGCTGTTAGTCCTAGTTGCATGTGAACAGACTTCTCACAGCAGAGTAGCATTGATTTGAGAACTTGCTGGGATTTGTCTCCTACCCTTTCCAAGCCCTTTTCCCTCACTTTAGTTTTCACATCCATAGGGTGTGTTTTGTATTTGCTTTCTTAAATCAGCTGCAAAATTACATGGCTTTTATCGTAGAAATAGTCCACCATTTTTAATAAGAATTAGATAAAATATGCTTATTTTGATGGCCTCTGTTTATCCCAGGAGGCATTGTACTGTTCGTTGTTCCTTTTTACTTTTCTGGACACAGGCTATTGTGAGTATACTTTATAATCATAGTTCCCCAAAGGTAAGAGTTGAGAACCTAGTTTACTGTGGCTATTTGAATAAGAAAAATGGATGTCAGAGTTTTGAGCAGCTAGGAGTCATATCTTCCACTTGAGCTTTTCCCACTCTGGGTCTTTCAACCAACACTTCACCTACAACAAGCAAAAAATTATCATGCACTGAAAATCATCATATAAAACATAATCCCAAATTAAACAATATGACAAAACGATGTAAATGTGGAAATAAAGTTTTATATTTAGGTGTTTGATAAGACAATGTTTTCTAGTGGCTCCTCCCTTTTTTCCACCCTAACTGAGTGTAAAATTTTTGAGATAAGGACTGTACCTTATTTTCTTTCTTTATACACCCAGAATTTTGGATATTTGATAGATACTTAGGAAGTATGTAGTTGACTGGGAATAGATTAATTTAGTCACTTTGTAGCAGTTCCTGATACTGTAAGAAGATAGTATTTACTTTTCCGAACGTATATCTTACAGTGTTTTTGAAAGAAACTATTAAATTCATTGTGAGTACCACATTTAAGTATTTCTGTGGAGCAGTTGTATTCAAGTTATGTGAACATTATTTCTTTTTTATAGTATTTGGCATATGGCTACATTTAGACATTGAAGTACTTAAAAAGTTTTATTATTTTCGAGTAATGATTGAATTCTGTTGTGTATGATCATTGACTTTTATTTCTTCTTTTGTTGCTATCAGTGGAACATACATATATATGCATAATATATGTGATTTAAAATTTTGAAAGGTAATTTCGCATTTTTATTTTTCAGAACATCTTAGCAGAACCATCAAAGTCTAATGGAAGTATGGTTCACCATTCCTCATCTCCATATGTAGTATATCCACCCGATAAGCCTTTCCTTAACAGTGATCTGCGACGCTCCCCAAATAAGCCTACATTTGCCTATCCGGAAAGCAACAGCAGAGGTAATAGAGCCTAACAAAGCAGGTGCTGCCTTTGTGTGTTTGATGTTGTTTAGGTGCTCAGTCGTGTCCAGCTCTTGCAACCCCATGGACTGTAGCCCACCAGGCTTCTCTGCCCATGAGATTTCCCAGGCAAGAATACTGGAGTGGGTCGCCATTTCCTTCTCCAGGGGATCTTCCTGACCCAGGGGTCAAACCCACGTCTCCTGCATTGGCAGACAGATTCTTTACCACAGAGCCACCATGGAAGCCCTTTGTGTGTTTACTCAGTGCTTAAAACTCTTTATTTATGTTTTCAATTTATTTTAAAATTAGTGGAAAGTAAATGTCCCTCTTCCAGTTTTGTGTTTTTTAATCTATCTAGTTGCAGTAGGTCTTAGTTGTGGCATGTGGGATCATTGCAGCATACAAACTCTTTGTTAGGGCGTGTGGAATCTAGTTCTGTGTTAGAGTGTGTGTGTGTGTGTTTGTGTATGTGCGGGCGTGTGTGCTTAGTCGCTCAGTTGTGTCTGACTCTTGGCGACCTAGGCCCCTACACTGGGGGCATGGAGTCTTAGCTGCTGTACCACCAGGGAAGCCCTACCCATTCCTGTTTTTAATTTCCTCAAAATATTTTGTCTTTCTTTTGTTCCCTGAGTAAACATCATCTAATCATTAGGACTAAGTTATGAATTATCTAGGACTGTTCTTTTCATTCCCAGCACCACTCAGGAGCCAAGACTTGTGTTTTGCTTCTGAAATGCCCCCCAAACACTTTCTCATGGGTTTGGTTCAGGTTTTCATCATTTATTGCACTGATAATTGTAATACAGCCTTTACTCATCCCCAGTGAACAGCATTGCTGCCACTTGCTGTTTTTCATCATCTCTCCCACTTTAAAAGTTTCAGCATCTCTCCATGCCTTAAATAACACTTGCAGATTTCTTATAACCTGGACTGTACCTGCTTTACCAGTTTCATCCCTGTCAGCTCCTCCATTCTTCCTTACCCACACATCCTTTGCTCTACTTTGAAATGTATTTTTTTCCTGAAACTTACCATCTGTATTAGTTTTCTTGCTTTCTTAACAAATTACCACAAATTTAGCAGCTTTAGGTAACCAAAATGTATTGTCTCACAGTTTCTGTAGGTCAGAAACTTGAATGAGCTCAGCAGGGTCCTCTGTTTAGGGTCCTGTGATGCAGAAATCATGGTGTTGACTGGCTTGTGTTCCTTACTGCAGAGTCTAGGGAGCACCTTCTGCTAGCTCATTCATGTTCTCAGCAAGTTCAGTTCCTTGTTGTTGTAGAACTGAGGTTCCACTGTCTTGCTGACTTTCGATCAGGGCCAGTCCTTGTTCCTAGCAACTGTCTGCATTCTTGCATTTTTCTTAAGGTTCCCTGTAGGAATGGTGGGTCAAGGCTCTCATACTTCAGATCTCTCTGACATCTCCTGTCCACTTTTAAGGGTTCATGTGTTTAGTTACATTGAGCCCACTCTAATCATCAGAAATAATTTCACTATCTGAAAGGTCCATAACTTTAATTACCTCTCTCAGAGTCTTTTTTGCCATATAACAGGTATTCAAGGCTTCTTGGATTAGGACATAGGCCTCCTTGGGTGTCCTTTTCTGCCTGCCACGCCAGCCACATTAAGTTGACAAGTGTTTCTCATGCTGTACCCTCTAGTGAAATTTTCTGCTGTAGAATTATACTCTTTCTCTGAAACCGAAGTTATATATTTCTTCTGAGAAGTCTTCTCTACCAGCATCCTCAACACATACCACCTCTCTCTGTCCCCTCAGATGTCTCCTCTGACCCCTCTTGGGCCTTTGTTCATGTCTCATAGCCTTCACCTTTGTGTGGGGGGTGATGGTCTCTGTATCTAACCATCCTGTGTTAAAAGTCGGTATCATTGGATTGATACCAAAAACAACAGTAAAACTATAATGGATCTTACTGATTATCCTGGGGCATTGCTAGATAGTTCATAACACCACATTCCGAAGGACAGAAACTTGCTGCCTTCCATGTTCTTTTTTCTCTTGTTTCCTTCCTTCTTCCTCTCCTCCCTGCCCTCTCTCTCATTCCTGAAAGCCACTTATTACTCACAAGCAGAATTTAGCTTTATTGTGAACACACTGGATAAAACCCTTGCTAACTCTTCTTTCTTAAGTAAATTTGCCCCATTTAATTTTTCTTATTCTTAGTAATTTGCTTTTCTCTGAAATTAAAAAAAAAATGGTTGCTTTCTTTTTAATACGAATGTAAAGATCAGAATTCGATGTAATATCATGATGTAATGTCATGATAATAATGTGATATCTTATTCTTAGACTTTGTGTTCCTGCTAGAACTCCAGCATGTTTTTGTGTGTGCTTATTTTTTTAAAGAAATTATTACTAAAATTTAATTGATTTTTGCTCCACTGTGAATTTCAGCTATTTGTTTTTTGCTTTTTTGGATGTTTGAAAGTTATACAACTTCTGTTATTTTTCTAAATTGCCAGTCTTTAACTGCTGTGTTTTGATGAGTAGCACTGTATCAGTTGTTTTATCAGCCATTAAATTAGCAATTTCTTTATCATCATCTTTAAGATACAGTGTCTTTTAAGATGTTTCTGGGTAGAAATCCTTAAAAAACACTTATATTTTAAAAATTCTTAAAAGACCTCAGATTAAATTTATTTCAGCCCCATTATGGGCTAGAATTTATATTCATGACCATACTTGGATACTGTTTTCTACCTTGTACTCCATTATACAGTCAGTGCATAGTTTACAAAATGGTGTTATTGTGAGATGAATTTTTAAGATACTTGCAGTGCATTTCTCAGTTGCAACCAAAGGGTACCTAAACTAATTTGCAGGGTTAAACACCTGTTTAACCCATATGTGAGTAAAATATAACACTTCTTTTATCTAGAAAATCATTAGTAAGTATAATTGCCATGATACAAATGATTTAACACAATTTAAAAACATGAAAAGAATAAAATGCAGTAACATTTCAGACAAAGCAAGTATATTTCATTTAAACCTCTCAGAAAAACTATATAAGGTGGGTATATTGAAAATGACTGATGAAAAAACATCTGAAAGCTGGTCAGTTTCACATAGGTAGTGTCACAACCATTTTTCTTCCCACTTTTTCCCCAGTTTGTTGAACGAACCTTCAGATACTTACTGAATAAGTGAAGGCTTATTTTAATGGATACTCACTATGATAAACTTTTTCTTTTCTACTTAGTAAATGTTTTTTTCCTCACTAATACTTGAGAGGGGGAAACTAAACCTTTTTTAGTTTAGTTATGGTTTAGCATTTTCATTAATGACCATTTCACTTTGCTATCTGAAAATCACTTTGAAAGTATAATTTGACTAATGCCATGGAAAGACATAATTAAACCGTCTTGTAATTCTCACATTAATTTTAAACTTTAGTTAGAAAAGAAATGAACAAATTCAAAATTATTACTGACATCAAAAAATGTATTATGACAACATCATTCCAAAGACTTCAGTATAACTTAATCGCTCATGTTATTCAGTACTTTTCAAATGATAGTAATGTGACGAATGGCTTAGATGCTTGAAGCTAGATAAGTAGCTATAAGACAGTTCTACTAGGCCAGTGCCTTCTAACCTTTCACATACCGTAGTACCTATGGACAGTAAAATGGTAATATGTATACAGCAGCTGAGATAAACTGGTAGGGCTGATGGCAGCTAATCTGAGGTCTTTGTTATCCCAAAACAAGAGAACTTTTTGTTGTTATTCCCGTTAAAAACAGAGAAAACCCATTTTGATGTATCTTTTACAAATTCAGTGATATTGGGACCAATAAAGGAGTCAAACTATAGCTGTTCTGTTATATATTGATAACAATTTACTGTGCATCTGATTGTTCTCTGTTAAAGTGTTGGTTCTCAGATTTTTATTTATTTATTTTTAGTCTGGGAAACCCATTACATGTGTATGTAAGTTTTTCAGTGAAGACTATTTTCCCAAATTTAAAAAACATACTACAAAGAGTAACATTTTATTTTACACTGTGTAAATGTCTTATTTCTGGCTTAATAGAAGACAGCTTGACTCGCATATCTACTTTTGCATTCCACTTATGATGATAAATTATTTTGATTAAAGTGTGTGAGAAAGAAAATCTGGCCTTTCACAGGCATGCAATTGGATAAGGAGTAAAATTTTAATACCTTTCTAACAATTTGTAGCTATTCTTCTTGGATACTTCATCCCAACTTGGCAAATAATAGTTTCTTGAAATTTTGTTGCAATGTGGGTTATGGAAACAAAGTTTTTCATACTCTGGGACCTCAGGACTATCTACATTGTTGCAGATTAAAATAAGATTCAGAAGCAGTTGTAATTACAACTGTTGTTTATTGCAGTGGCATCTGGAGAAGTCCACATTCAGACATCTGAAGTTTTTTCTCGTGGTCACACAAAACACACATCTTCCTCCGGGAGTAAACTGCACCACTAGGCTTAGAGACGAGGGCTCTTATCTGGAGCTGGTTCCACAAACACTCTGTGCCTGCTCGGCCAATCATGATATTTACCATAAAGACATTTTTTATACAGCCCAGGCAGACTGGTACAACAGGATTCAGTGCCCTAGTCATACAAAACTACCTTATCAGTTAGTAACCTAGAGAACATTCCAAAAGTGAATTCCTAGAAGTTAAATGTTCAAGCCTGTAAACTTTTTTTTTTTTTTTTTTTAGTGCTTTTCCACTGAAATCCACTGGTTTTGTTTTGAACATTGCATTGCTCTTTAGCCATGCGTGATATTTTTAATTGTATTGACTTATCCACACTTTGAAAATCTGATGTTTCATTATACAATATCAAAAAATTAATTTGCTAATATCACTGATCTCAGTAGAAGAAAATCTTGATGTTGGGAAACTAACTCAGAACAGATAACTTTTAATTTTTTAGGATTTTAACTTTCACTTGAGTTTTATCACGGCAATTATTGTCAGATCTTTGAAGGCCCAGGTC